TGGGTGGGTGGAAGGGTAGATGGATGGGTGGGTGGGTGGGTGGATGGAAGGGTAGATATATGGATGGGCAGATGGATGTATAGATGGTAGATAGATGATGGATGGATGGATGGTGGGATGGAGGGAAAGATGGATGAGTGGTTGGATGAGTAAGTGGGTGGATGTGTAGATGGGCAGATACGTGGATGGGTGGGTGGCTAGATGGATGAGTGGGTGGATGCATACGTAAATGGGTGGATGGTTGGGTGGACAGATGTATTGATGAATGGTTGCATGGATGGATGGATGTGTGGAGAGGTAGATCTATAGATGGATAGATGTATGGATATTTATATAGGTGGATTAGTGGATGGATGGACAGATGGGAAGATGTGTATACATGTGGATGGATGAATGGGTATGTGGGTGGATGTGTAGATGGATGATAGATGGATGGAGGGAGGGGTGGTTGGATGAGTAGGTGGGTGGATTGTGGATGGGCAGATACATGGATGGGTGGGTGGCTAGATGGATGAGTGGGTGGATGGATACATAGATGGGTGGGTGGTTTGGTGGATAGATGTATAGATGAATCGATAGATAGGTGGATGGGTGGATGGGTGGATGGATGAATGAATGAGCAGATGTGTGGATATGTAAGTGGGTGGATGGATGGGTGTATAGGCAGATGTATGAATGTGTGGATGGGTAGATGGGTAGATGGATGGATGGATGGATGGACAGATGGATGGGCTGATGTGGATGAGTGGATGGATAGATGGATGCATAGGTAGATGGGTGGATGGGTGGATAAAAGATGATGGATGAGTAGACCCATAGGTGGATGAACCAATGGATGACCAGCTGGCTGGCTGACTGTACAGTGGATAAGCTGATCGAAAAGGGGGCTGACTGACTGATGGACTGAAAGCAGATGGCGTAGCTGATGTACACGCACACAGATGGGTGGATCAACAAGTAGATGCAAAGATGGGTAAGGGGGTGAACTGGCTAAGACAGACCGTTGAATAAAAAGACAGAAAAATTAATATATGGTTAAGTCTATGGGTGGACAGATAAGTTGCCAACTAGATAGAAAAATAAGTGGATAGGAAAACAGGTGAATGGATGGACGTATGAGAAAGGTTTGGAAATGTTTGTAGACAGATATTCACATACTGGCCAGGGTGGGGGAAGCTGGGAGACTGGGGCCGAGATCTGGAAGCAGCTGGGATACTCGCGAGGCTGAGGGATGGAGCAAGTGGCAGGACTCCACCTGGGTCCTGCCTTGAGTCCGGCCATTGAGTAGGCAGAGGCCTAGGGTGGAGTACAGGGCCCACAGGGAGAGTCAACCCTGGCAGTCTTGGGATCAGAGTTTTTAGCCTGCCAGGGTGTCCCCAAAAAGTAAAGGCCCCACCAAGTGTGGTGGCCCACACTTGTAATCCATCTCCGTGGGAGGCTGAGGCAGGAGGATTTCGAGTTAAGTCCAACTGGACTAACGCAACTTAGTGACTTATTGAGACCCTAATTCAAAGCACACAATTAAAAAAAAAGAGTTGGGGTGTAACTTGCTGTGAAGCCCTTGAGTTCAACCCCAGTGCTGCCCCCCAAAACCAAAACAAAACAGACAGAGTGTAAAGGCCCCATGTGGGCACCATTCCGATCCAAGATCGACTTGGCTGCGTGGAGTCACTGGGCTGGGGTTTGGGAGCCTCCCTAGGCCTCAGCAGTCACACAGGCCTCGGAGACAGAGGTGGCCTGTCCCCTCCAGCCCCAGCTTCCTTTGGGCAGGGGGCCTGGCCCCATGGCTTCCCAGGCCAGCCCCTTGAGCACCACCTGCCCCAGCCGGCCAGAGACTTCCTGTAGCGCAAGAGATTTATGCAAACGGGCTGGGGCGGTGATGTCACCCCAAGGGGACTATCTCCCAGTGGCAGGCCCTTCGATAAAATCAGGAACTTGCGCTGGCCCTGCAATGTCAAGGGAGGGGGCTCCCCGAGGGCTCCTGTAGCTCAGGGGGCAGGCCCGAGCCTGGTGTCCACCCCACGGCCCAGCCGTCCAGTCCCCTGACGGGGTACCCCGTCCCAAGGGGCTCCGCTCTGGCCCCCACGGAGGCAGGGGACCCGACCCGCACAGAGCTCGGCTGGATGTTACAGGCGTGCAAGATGGAAGGGTTTCCCCTCGTTCCCCCTGTGAGTACCACAGCTCCTCTGCCAGCCTGGCTGGCCCCTCCATGCCCACTGCTGTCCCTGGCCACTATCAGTGGGAAGCCTGAGCTTCCTCCAGGGCTCCTGGCAGTGGCTTCCCGGAGCAGAGCGCGGCTGAGGGTTGAGGGCCAGGCCTATGGTGGGGCTGAAGGGATTATTTATAGATGGGCTGGTGGCAGGGCTCTGGGTTAGTGACGGTGAGGCAGGCAGCAAGGTGGGAGAGGAGCAGACGGGGGACTGGCTCAGGGGTAGCGAGGGGCTGAGACAGGAGAGGGCCCAGGTCTCAGCCCGGAGCTTGGGGTCCCCTGGAGCAGGAGGCTGGTGGAACTCAGGGTCCCTGATGAGTCCCCAGTGACCTCTCTGGGGCCTGGCACCAAGGACATGGTTGTTGGCCGAAGGGTCCCAGCCTGGGACCTTTGGGTTCCCTGAAGGGCAGGGGCAGGGCCCAGCTGGGCGAGCGAGAGGCGCTGTGATTAGGCTGGTGCCAGGGCCAGGCCTCAGGGAGCGGCCCACAGGGGATGGGCCCAGGCCGCAACTGAGATTGGGCTCGGTAGGACCCAGGGTGGCGTCGGCCTGCAGTTAGTGGGGGACGAGGCCAGGGCCAAGTCTCAGTGAAGACGCAGGAGCCCCAGGGGACCCCGGCAACAGTGGCGGCCAGTGGCCCCGATCTGCACTGCTGCCTACCCTGGGTGACAGTTGCCGCTCTGGCAGGTGTCAGGCTGGGCACACTGGGAGGCGACCCCTCGCGGGCTCTCACCCCGGTCCTCACTCCGGGGTGCCGGCAGGGCTTGGCAGTGCCTGCCACTGACTCAGCCTTCCCTGCCTGGAGGCCGTTGTCTTCCTCCTCCTCCCCACCCTGCCGAGGGGCCCTGGGGTGGCAACCAGGCCTGGTGCCTGTGACCACAGCTCACCCGTGCCCCCTGGGGTTCCAGGAGGGTGCCTCAGTGCTGGGCTCCTGCCTTTCGTTTGGCCTGACCCTGGCACAGACAGGACCACCCCGTACACCTGTCCCACCAAGCCTACTGCACCCTCACCCCTGCCCCTGCTGGACCTAGGAGGTGCTGGGGTGGAGGGAGGCAGAGGCGCTCTTCCCACTGGTGCCCACTCCACCTCAAGAAAGCCACAGGTGTCAGGCCTGGTGGCACACGGCTGTAACCCTAGCACTCTGGAGGCTGAGGCAGGAGGACTGCTGAGTTTGATGCCAGCCTGGTAACATAGTTCAAGGCCAGCCTGAACTATACACAGAGACCCTGTTGCAAAAAATAGATAAATAAAAAATAAAGAAGGCCACAGGCCTAGCTAGGGGTTTGGCCACAATGCCCTCGCCCCTCAGCCCCTGAATGCTGAACTGTGGCGGGGCAGGAGGCGGATCTCTGGGCCCCAATCTCAGCTTGTGCCCAGCAACTCTGAACCCCTCTGGGGTGGGCAGCCCCAGCCCTCATGCCAAGCTGAGGACCACGGTGATGCTTGCGCAATACTCATGCACGCTCTGTGGGGCTGGAGGAGCTGGCGACTGTTGGAAGCCGAGGGCTCGCTAGGCGCCAGCTGTGTGGGGGCAGGGGCGCCCCAGGGCAGGAGCTGGAGGAGGAAAGCGGGGCTCGCAGCCCAGTGCCTCTGTCCCTTGACCCCCGCAGCCTGCTTGGGCGACCTCTATACAAACTGCCAGACCGTGTGCGGGTCGCTGTCTTGGCCTTGTGCTTACCTGGGGGGCGAGGGGGAGAGAGCAGGCACAGGGCTGTGCAGGGCACGCCGGTGGTGTGAGGTTGGCATGGTGGTGGTGGGATGTCACTCAGGCGGGCTTCACCCCCTCACCTCTGGGTGCACCCATGGATCGTAGGTGACAGTGGGTGTGAAAGTGTGCTATGGGCTGTGGCGGCATGGCCTTGTGTGGGGGTGGCTGGGCCCGTGAAATGGTGGCTCCCCGTGGACCAGAGGCAGGTGTGTGAGGCCAGCAGGCCCCGCAGGCAGCCCTGACACCCGCTCCCTCCACAGCCATCAGAAGAGCTGGTTTCCTACGACGCGGACCTGTACCAGCGGGCCCCGCACGAGTACTATCAGTACCTCAACAGCGATGGGGACAGCCACAGTGGTGAGTCGGGTGGGCCAGTGTCCTCCTTGGCGACACTTTCAAAGATGACACATCGGCCTGCAGCTCCGGAGCTCACACTGGCCTCAGCTGGGGTGAACTGGGTGCGGCCTCGCCCCCTGGGCGCCAATGACCACACCAAGCCCTCTCGACCCATTGCTAGCTCCCCTGGGCTAAGCCCCCCAGTTGGGAAGCGCTGTGTCAGAGGAACCCCCGAAGACCCCCTGCCCAGCAGAGGCCAAGGCCCCTCCCCTGGGTGGGGGAGGCAAGGGCAAGGTCCCCGCTTGGGCGCCTCCTGCATCAGGGCCTCACGGTGGCCCGCAAAGCCTTTTCCTAGAGCAAATTCAGGGCTGAGGAGAGGGATTGGGTGAAAGGGACTTGGGCAGGACTTGTGATAGGGACCCAGAGTGGATGCTGGGAGCTGAGCGGGGTGGTGCACGCCTGTAATCCCAGCACCCTGGAGGCTGAGGCAGGAGGATCGTTGTGAGTTCACAGCTAGCCTGGGCCACACAGTAAGACCCAGAAAGAATAAAAGAACCCCAGAGAATCCTCTTCAAGCTTAGTTGTGGGTGTACAGAAGAGCTCCATCCTCTCCGCGGTAGATCCAGACACCACGGACGGGACACCTCCCGTCGCTCTTGGGATCCCGCGCCCTACCTTCCTCCAGGACCCCTGGGTGTGAGGAGGGCGCCCCCTGGTGGCCTGGATGCCGCAGCTCGGGCTGCAGTCTTCTGGCCCAGGCCCTCCTGGGTGGCGTTGTAGTGACCTCTGCTCTGTGGTCAGGCGCCAAAGCGTGGGGTTGAGCCTTGAACACCCCCAGACTCCTTGTTCCTGGCCCTGCCGCCTGCATCCTGCCGCCCTTCCTAACGCCTGCTGGAAGGCGTTCCCTGAAGCCTCTCAAGGACACCCCACTTCCTGGCTGTCCTCAGAGGCCATGTTTTAGGTAGCTATGTTTAGTGACCAGGTGCAGGGAGGATCTGGGTCCAGTCCCGCTCCGTGTGCTCCTCCCCAGAGGAACACAGCCTCTCTGAGCTGCTCTTTCCTCCTCCGTAAAACTGAGTGCTGCACTCTGGGAGGCTGAGGCAAGAGGACCGTGAGTTCAAATCCAGTCTGGGCGGCGGATGCTGTCTCAGAATTAAAAAATAAAAAAAGGACTGAGGTGTAGCTTTGTGTGAAGGCCCTGGAGTTCACTCTCCAGTGCCCCTCCCCTGAAAAAACCCCCACAAAAATGTCTGTGAGGTTGGGTAATGTGCTGACAATAAAGGCAGGGAACTCGGGGTGCAGGTGATGCTAGTGCCTGCAAGGCAGAAGGAGGAGGAGGCGCGGGGGCGTGCATGGGGCGCCGAGTAAGGCAACACGCGGGTATATCAGGCGTGAGTGTAGCTAAGAGGGAGACTGACTGCAGGCCAGGGACTTGCGTGGAGGCCACCAAGGGCCCCGCTCCAGGGACCTTGATGGGGGAGACAGGGCCACCAATCTGCGACCTTACTAAGCCACACCCAAGCCCTGTTGGAGTTTGGATGGGGACATGACAAGATATGGTACATGCATTTGTGTGTGTGTGTGTGTGTGTGTGTGTGTGTGTGTGTAGCATTTAAAAACAGTATGAGGAGCTGGTGAGATGGCTCAGTGGTCTAAGGCACCTACTTAGAACAAGCTTAGCAAAGCACAGGGACCGCGGTTCAATCCCCCAGCACCACATGCCAGCCAGCCCCGCCCCCTGGTGGGCTGAGCTGGCCACACACACACACACACACACACACACACACACACACACAAATAAATAAAATTTAAAAAAAAAAGAAAATTAAAAAAAAAACAAAAAAAATAAAAACAGTATGAGAGGCTGAAGTGGGAAGGTTGCAGAACAAACAGTCCAGAGCGGGCCCCCGGATGGTGAACACCAGGATTTGTGATCTTTTCATTCCAGCCTCATAAGAAAGCATGTGCGGGGCCGGGGAGACAGCACAGCAGCATGAGCGCCTGCAGGGTTAGCACAAGGTCTCCTACTCGCTGTTGGCAGCCCCGCCCTGAACTCCTACCATCTTGCAGAACTGGTCTCTGCCTGCTGAGCAGCTCCCAGCTCTGCTCCCCTTGGCCTGCGGCCTGGAACTGTTATCCTATTTCCTGTGGTGGCTGTTGGCTGTTGTACTGAGAATTGAACCCAAAGCCTTTGTCCCTAGCTCCATTCACAGTCCTTTTTCTATTATTTATTTTTGACAGTGTCTCACTAAGTTGCTCCGGTTGGGTTCAGACTTGGCTGTCTTCCTGCCTCAGCCTCCCGGAGTGCCAGGGTGAGAGGCACGTGCCACCATGCCTGGCCACCACCCAGTCTACTTTCTATCATTATGAATTTGGTCACTTCAGGTGCCTCACACAAATGGAACCATCCTTTTAGGAGTGGCTCATTTTGCTTAGCTGCGTCTCCTCACAGGGCATCCCTGGGGCAGCTCACGTAGGCATCTCCCTCCTTTTTAAGGCAGAGTAGTGCTCCACGGTGTGTGTGGACCGCCCTCGCTCATCCGCCCACCCCTGGAGCACAGGTGGGCCGCTCATGCCTTCAGCTAGTGTGACCAGGGCCGCTCTGCACACAGGACAGGACAGCACTTCCAATTTCTT